TGTCCACATGAACATCATGCACTTTTCATCACATGATCTTAGCATTTGAAAATCAAAAAGGGCTTTTGAAAGACAAAAACAAGTTTTCACTTTTGGAAAGCTGTCTGTTTTATTCTTTGAATTAGAAAACATGCTCTAGATGTAAAAAAACAACAAACCTAGTGTAATCATAGTATCAACGGGTTGGATCTCGGAGGAAAAGATGTATGTATTGGAAGTAAAGTGCTTTTGGGAGAGTGTTTTATTGCTTTTGACTTTCCTAATGCATTTCATGGCAAATTTTAACAAATTCAATTACTCATTCCATCCTAAAATCTTGAGCCTTTCCAGAATGTCGTGCGAATCTCTCATCAATAATATATCTTAAAATACATAGTCAGGATTCTATAATTTACAAATCATGAAACCACTTTTTTATCGTAAATATAACCATATAAAATGATTTCCCCTGTCCCTTAATAAACTTCATGCCTACTATTTAGTATTCACAAGGTCAAACTATATCTTCCTTATTTACTTCAATCATTTGTTACAATAAAATAGCGAATTCATTTCTTGTTCTATACTCCATGTATCTTTTGATGTAGTTTTTAAATATATATGTTTTATTTTTTTAATTGTGCATCAATATTTAAATGAATTGAATTGAGAAAATAACTTTGGTCATACATTGTAAATAAAAAATGAAGTTTACTAACGGATGGAGCCAATGGAGTGAATATAATTCTTTTTGTATTTTAAGAGTAATTATTGATCAAAGGTTGCCTTAAAAAATTGGTCAAAGGTTGGAAAGAATTTTCGTGAATGCTCAAGATTTTGAGACGAATGGAGTATCATCCAATCAAGAGTCAAGACTCCAAACACTAGTCCTGTTGATACTAACTGACCTTTAAATTAACTACATTCTTAAAATGGATTCACCTAAAATGAACTTGAAGCTAACTGACATCCATACATGCACTAGTCTTTGAGATTGCATTCCAAAACATAATATGGAATTCTTGGTTTCTATGAGTCACAATTGCATTCCTCAGAAGTAAAAAAAACTTTTTTTCTTCTTTTTACACAGAAAGAACTTGCCCAACTTGCATGTGAATGTGAAAGACACATTGGCACACAGTCTGGTGGAATGGATCAGGTATCATCGTATCATTGTATTCTTCTTTCTCGATTTGGAGACGACCAATGCTGATCTGTACAATGGTAGCACTTCTATTTGTTTAATTTTTTGAAACCCAATGCCTTTTACATTAGTGTTCCCTTCCACGCAGGCGATTTCTATCATGGCTCAATCTGGATTCGCAGAGTTGATTGATTTCAACCCAATACGTTCTACTGATGTTCAGCTTCCTTCTGGTGGTTCTTTTGTTATAGCTCACTCTTTAGCTGAATCCCAAAAGGCAGTCACTGCTGCTGTAAACTACAATAACAGGGTTGTTGAATGCAGGCTAGCTTCTGTATGTCTTCTTTTATAATTTTATTTGTTATTTCAAATACAGCTTTTCTCTCTGGATACATGTTTTTTCTTAATTAATGTTTATATTCCTCTGTTCTATGAACTTACATTGAGAAACTAGCTGTGTGATGCTGTTAAATGATTCGTGTTTATCATGTATTGCAGATTGTACTGGGCATCAAACTTGGGATGGATACTCGTGAGGCCATATCGAAAGTGAAAACACTATCTGATGTTGAAGGATTATGCGTATCATTTGCCACTGCTCGTGGATCTTCTGATCCTGTCATTGCTGTCAAGGAACTTTTGAAGGAAGATCTATATAGTGCCGAAGACATTGAAAAAATTATAGAGGAAAAACTGCAAACCATATTTTCCAATTCCCCCTCCTCTTTGGATGTTTTAGAAGCCGCAAACAACTTCAAGTTGCATCAGGTGCTCGGACCAAACCACTCATGAAAATGTGTTCCTGATACATTTATTTGTTCAATATTTTTTGCTCTTCTAGAGTTTAACATTTACATTTACCTTCCAGAGAGCTGCTCATGTTTACTCTGAGGCTAAGCGTGTGTACGCATTTAAGGATACTGTATCATCAAGTTTAAGGTGAGTCTTAAATAATAATTTTCTCTAACAGTAATGGCATTGGGGTAGATCTGCAAATAAAACTGGGTTCATATACTAAAAGCAATTTGCAATTCATTTCAAGTGACATGCTATTATTATTTAAAAAAATCCATTTTTTGTTAGGTAATCTATAGATATTTGTAAGTAGGCCTAGAATATATGTATTTGTATTTTGACCTTCAAAACTCACCCTGAAACGGCCTTACTAGACTGTGCACACATCACATAGATATTTGTAACTACGAAATCTCCGGGTAGCATAGTGGAAGTGGAGAAACAAACCCCTTTACTTCTTGCTGATTCATGGGCTGTCCCTGCAGTAATATCTTGTCTTCGTTTTCTTGACTGCAAACTGCAATTAACATTTATAAAAACATTGCAACACAGTGAAGAAGAAAAGCTGAAGAAGCTTGGCGATCTTATGAATGAGAGCCATTACAGTTGCAGCGTTCTCTATGAGTGCAGGTACACTACCTCTGGCCTTGGTGTTATTTAAGATATATGTTTTGGGTTATCACTCAAATGATTTGGAAGACTTCCATGAAATAAATATAATGCTCAGTATATGGACTATGTCATTTATAGGAAAAGATAGTACTCCATGTCTCCCATAAAAAGAGTCTTGCTTAACAAAAGTATAACTTTTTAGTTTTAGTTTGATACAATTATTTTAATTTATCTAATTTAGCTAAATTTTGAAGTTTATCTGATTATTTAGCTAAATTAACACACTCAACTACTCAAGCAACTAAACTTGTTTGGGATTTTTTTTGAATAATTTAACATTGAATATGATGAAAATTAGCTTCTTTTGTGAAGGTGGGACTGTTTTGTTGGAACAAAATAAGTTTCCAAATATGATGTTTTTGGGAGGATGGGAGCAATTCTTTTGTGTTCTATAACTTGGAGTCCATATTTCATGCACATTCTTTTATGTGTCCTTGATTTTGTTTTCTCTTGTTACATCCATAAACAAACAGCTGTCCAGAGCTGGAAGAACTTGTAAAGATTTGTCGCGATAATGGTGCTTTGGGGGCCAGGCTTACAGGAGCAGGATGGGGAGGTTGTGCTGTGGCTCTAGTTAAAGAAAGTCACATACCTCATTTTATACTCAATCTGAAGGTCAGTTTACTTTCTTGACTGATTGGAGTCGTTTCGTATTCTGTTTGGTGGGTTAACTTAGAAGCTGCTTATAAGTCAAATATTCTTTTGCGGAAGTGTAGTAACTTAAATGATAGTTAAATCATTTGTAAATATTCATAAATAATGAGGAAAAATTTTGTAAATAATCTGGTCAAAACGGAGAAACCAAAAAATTGGCTTAAAAATAAGTAGCAAAGACCTACTTATTTTTTGTGGCTTATAAGAAACTTATAAGTCAACTTATAAGTACTCAGAAACATGTCATCAGTTGACTTATAAGTTAAAAAACTGCTTCTAAGCAGTTTTGACCAGCTTATAAGCACAAAGGAACACTTACATAATGAGGTCAGAAGTATCATTGATCTTCATTAGTTGATTTTAGCCAAAAAGTAGCTTCTACCATGTCTTTCATTATTTTCAGCTAATGTACTTTACTGATTTCAATATCAGTGAAGTTATTCTTACAACAAAAGGACCATGAGTTCTTGTAAAATTTTAGGATGATGATCTGTGAGTTATTCTGCGGTAACTTTCAATCCAAAAAATAATCCAATTGAATTCTTGAAAGATATGAATGTTCTAAGATGCCTTTTTCTCGCCAAATTGGTTTTTATAAATTTTCCCACTATTAATATAGTAAAATAGATTCCTTTTCTATAGTGAAAAATGTAAGGTGCCAAACAAAGTGTTTGTTTTGTGTCCATTATTATATGAAGTTTAAGATCCACTCATCATTGTTATACCTTTCCTGTTTAGGACCAATTTTACCAATCAAGAATTGATAAAGGAGTCATCAACAAGAGTGATTTGGGCATGTATCTCTTTGCTTCCAATCCCTCAAGTGGTGCTGCCATTTTCAAATTTTAGTTGCAATCAGTCAATCTTTCTTGTTTCCATTACAATTTAATGATTGTTATGCACTGATATTTAATCTCTCTTTGGAAAATAAAGCAATTATTATTATTATTATTATTATTATTATTATTATTATTATTATTATTATTATTATTTGCTTTTGCATTAGTGTATATTTGTGGTATGTGATTTGATGGGAGTATCTCTATATCATAGCTAATTGTTCTTTGAGGTTGGGTTCTGTAGTTCCATGTTCCTGTCATTTTGGTCTTGTTTGGGAACAACATTTTCAATTAGTATTGACATTTTGGATAAAATTTTAATAATGTAGATTAATTCTGAAAAGCTAACGATTTTAATATTGGGGCCCCGTTTGGCATCAGCTTTAGAGATTAGCGTTAGCGTTTTGAAAAAGCTATCCGACGGTAGCCTTTAGCGTTAGCGTTTTCAGAATTAATCTACACCATTAAAATTTTATTTAAAACGCTAACGCTAATCGAAAACGTTGTTACCAAACAAAGCTGTTTGTCTTTTTAAAACGCTAACCTCTAATGCTGATGTCAAACAAGGTCTTTATCACTCTTTGTCTCATATATATCTCACTTTATCTAAAATATACTCCGTACTTTGGAATATCCTCGATTGGTAAGAACTCTCAAGTTCTACATTATCTGAAATATATTCTATGCTTCTTAACATTTGTGATATTATAAGATTGAAAGTTGTTACGTTGACAAATTGAAGAATTTTATTAAAATTTAATAAAATAAAGTATTTTTCAATGCAAGAGAACTTTCAATTTTAACGATCGCATGAATGAATTGTAATCTTAGAATATTTTACTACTCCGTATAAATTTTAATGATCCTCGGAATTTATTTAAGATAATGTAGAACTAAGAATTCTCATTATATTAAAAAATGGAGGATAAGTTTTATAGTGTCCACTTCTTTGTGGGTTCTAGATCAACAATGTTTGTTCTATCTCAACAAAATATGTTTACCATGGAGAAATTATCCAATAAAATTTAAGGAGAAAGCCGATTTAAAAAATTCTAATATATACGTACTTAATTACCAGAAAAAACAAAAACTGCAAAAATCTTATCTAATGTGAAGAAGACGGCCGTCCGCCGGGGACTACTTGACGGCGGCGGCCTTCCGGAGCAACTTAAACCGGAAGACGGAACAATTGAAGTCCCAATAAAGCCCGACCTCGTCCTCCGGCGCCAAGTTCCGGTCCTTGAACAGATCCATACACGCCAGCACATAGTCGTCGCTGGGCAGCACCTCGAAGCAGCAGCCGGCGTACCTCTTCGGCGGGCAGTTCTGCTCCGCCGCCGCCGTCACGTCCCACACCTCCACGGCGGTCTTCTGCCCCAGCACCACCCGGGTCGCCGTGCACAGCCCCCAGTACCGGAAAACGTGCTCCATGGTCTCCGCGAACGGCGCCACCAGCATCCCCGTGATCACCTCGTACTGCGTCAGCGTCTTCCTTATCTGCCACGGGTTCGCCGGGTCCGCCGCCGGCGGAGGGAGCACGTCACGTGCTTCCACCAGAACACGTGACACCTGCCCTGCCGCCTTGGGCGACGCTTCTTCTTCGCTTTTGGTCGGGAAGAAGTTGTAGAAGAAGGTTTTCTTCATCATCATCATCTCTATATCTTTTTTTTTCTCTATCTTTTTAATTCCTCTGATTTAAAGCTGATTATAATTGTATTATGAATTTATCATATGTATTTATGTTAATTAAAACAATAACGAGGATTGAGTACATAATGTGCAGGGGGTTTATTAATTTAAGAAGGTTTAAATCTCCATGCTGCAGGCTAATAATTACCCGAATAAATATGGAATGCGACGATATTGGTAATTAAATAATTTGTTCTTTTATTGAAAATAGTTTCCTTTTCGGTTTATTTTGAGATCTTTCTCATATGGTGGATTCTTTATTTCAAAGATTAATATATTTAAATATTTCTTTGTTGGTAATTGACCTGTTTGGGAACAACGTTAGAGTTTAGAGTTGGAGTTTAGAGTTGGAGTTTAGAGTTAGAGATTAACTGTTTGCATTAGAGTTGGTGATTAGCTGTTTGATTTTTTGTCGTTTGGCAGTAAATCACTTAAAAAAGCTAATGTGTTGTAAATTACAAAAACATCCATTTCGACATGTACTCTAAAATTTAAAACTTTTTGTTGATTTTAATTTTATTTCGGTCACTTTAAACAAAGGAGGGGTAAAACAATTGTTAAATTTGCAGAATACATATGCCAATAGTCTAATATACTCTGCAAATTTTCACGCCTCTCCCAGTCTAATATACTTTGCAGAATTTTTCAAACTTTTCTCCTTCCTCTTCCTTTCCTCTAACACTTTAACTCCCTATCTCATTACCCATTTACATTATAAACAGCAAATTTAAAAAAAAAAACAGATTCTATTATACTAAAAAAATAGATTCTTAATCTTAAACAGCAACCCTGAATACATCACTCCGCCAAGAAACACAACAGAGTCCAAAACTAAAATTGAATCTTTCAAGGCCAAGAAACACAACAGAGTCCCAATAAACATACAAATTTTAAAAAACAGATTCTATTATATTACTATACCACTCAAATCATCTAAAATATTTTTTAAAATAAAAAATTACAAACATGAGTAAAGAATTCTATGGGCTACAAAAATCATATTAGTAAAAAAACTGAAATACTTACTTGCAATGAATCTGAGGCCTCCATCGAGCTGCTCAAGAACCCTATTTTTGTGATCCCCAAATCGTGAATTTATTCGGGAAGAATATAAGATTAGGCGGTAAGATTTCCCTCTAAAATTTTCATGGGTAAAAGAGGAAAATTGATCTCAATCGCTAAATTAGGGATAAGAACGCTGGAGGGTGTGAGCTTTCTGCGTTTAGCCGCGCGGAAGAGTCGGGAGGAGGAGAGAGACGAAAAACGCTGGAGTAAAATTAGGTCAAACAAACGCTAAAAATACTAAACGCAGCTTTTGGGCTGTAAAACGCCAATACCAAACAGGCCCAATATCTAAAGATATCATAACCTTTTTTTGTGTTTAGTAAAGCGAAAAGAAATATCAAATTTGATATCTTCAAATATAACAAATTATTTGGAAATCATTCTAAATAGGACTAAAACATAGAGAAAAGTACTAAAATAGGACTTTCATGTTTTTTTCCTGGAATAGGACTTTGCACTGTGGTAATGTGACTTTGCATTGTGGTAATGTGGCAGTGTACATATGCAAATTACTATATTTTCTTGGTAATGTATATGACCATGTTTGGTAATGTAAGTCCTATTTCGGGAATAAAAACATGGAAGTCCTATTTTGCTATATTTTCAATATTTTAATCTTACTTTGGTCTTTCTCTCCAAATTATTCAAATGAAAGGTTTCGATGTCTCTTGAATAATTTCGAAAAGCCTTTATCAGAGAAGGACTCATTTGGGAGATATTAATATGAGAGTTTCATATTTGTCAAAGAACTCTATATCATATCTACAAGACTCACAAAACGAATCCTTAAATGTAATGCATTGTAATCTGGGATTTTACAAAACTCCGACATCTCCAACTATGAAGTATTGTCATTTCCCACTTAGAGTTTGTATTTTAAAGTTTGAATTCTTAACTTCTAGTTTCTTTCAATTTTTTCTATTTTTCATCTAGTTCTTACCAATATCTTCCAGTTGCTTACCATTCTTTCTGTTCTTTTTAATTTTTTCTAATTCCTTTCAATTTTTTCAAGTTTCTTCCAACTATTTTTTTTCTTCAAATTCTTTCTACTTCTCGACCAAATACTTTAAAAACGATATTATTATTATTACAATTATTACGTTCATAACTATAGTTTATAAATTATTTCATTTTTATCTCACTATTTTAATGATTCACACTCATTATTATTTTTACTTCAACTTTTAATATGAATAATACTATTTTTTGTATACTAATCTATATGATAAAATAGAAAAACATCAATATTTTAAACTATTTAAAAAAATTACATAGAATATTTTTTTAACCTAAAGTTATACAAGGAAAACATCCGTAAAGAGAAAAAAGAAAAAAAAGAAAATAAAGAGGGAAATGGAAAACAAACTACAAAAAATGCCGGGAAACGAAAAAATGAGCAGAAAAAAAACCCCTCACTTTTCTCTTTATTTCTCAACTTTTATCATTTTTAATTAGGAGTAAAACATAAAAAAAAAATATAAAAAAGTTCTATGTCTTTATTCCAAAAGTAGGATTACAATGAAAATAAAATGTCAATCATTAAAGAAAAAATAAGTTTGATAACATTATATGACATGTCTGATATTTAAAATAAAATCTTGTAATATATAAAGTATAATTAAAATATATTATTTTATGATAAATATTGTATGAATAAAGTGATGTCTAACGTAGCCACAATAACTTTTAAATGTTTAACTTTTTTTTATATTTTTTCTTATTTTATATTCTAATTAAATTTTTTTCAAAAGTTGTTTTTTTGTGTATAAAAAATAATTTTTTTTATTTTAAAGGCATTTATTAAAATAACGTGATGACAATAACAATAACAACAACAACAACAACAACAACAATAATAATAATAATAATAATAATAATAATAATAATAATTTATAACAACAAGAATTAGAATGATAATAATATAAAAATATACCAAAAAATTTTATTAAAGTTTTTTTTCCATTTTTCTTTTAGTTCCTTCTTGTTTCTTCGAATTTCTTGCAGTTTCTTCTAGTTTTTAAGATTTTTTTCTAGTCCTTCCAGTTCTTTTAAATTCTTCAGTTTTTTCTCTACCATTTTCATTGCCAACAACCCCGTTTCCGTCCACCCCCGCCTATCACTAATTACATTATTATTTTAATATCTTTCAAAATAACTTCATTTCAGGTTTCACTATGCATATTATTTCTAAAATTTCAAAATCAATATGATATCATATCTCCAAAACTCATAAAACAATTCTTAAGTCTATCAAATTTCGTCACGTTCATCACATTACAATCTTTATTTAGATATTTTTTGCTCAACTTATTGAAGTTGTCCACCTCTCATTTATTTAAGAAACATATAGTGATGTTGCTAAATCACAAGTATCTCACAAAAAATGAATTTAAAATTTAAAATAGAAAATCCTTAAGCGTGTGTGATGGGTCAAGTTGTAGTAATGGAGTCCCAACGGCAAAGAGGGGTGAAATGGGTTGTGACGCAGAGAGTACTCTAATGACAGGTGTTTGCTGGGCCTCTTAGAATTCTTCCACGAGTGGGATTTTAGGGCGACCCTGTCGGTGGAGGTTTTTTTTCAGCAGCATATGCAATAGGATCTTCTCCGTCTTCTTCTCCTTTTCCGACGCAACAATTCCAATTCCTCTCCAATACTATATTATCATAAATCAATTGCACTGAATCGAGCATTAGAAACCAATTTTTTTTTTTTACAGCAGTTTTAGTTCCCACAGACTACAGAGTACAGACGGAGGGTCCCACCCTACCCCTCACCCACCGCGTCCGGTTATCCTTATCCTCCGTTCCTTCTTCTATAACTCTGGGTTTTTCTCAAAGCTCCGATCTTTAATTAAAAGATTGGATTTTTCAGTCTGGGATCTCAGGATTTCACACTCCCTCGTCTTCTTCGGACCTATTCACTTCTGGGTTTCCTCCTCTTTATCTGTGTAAGTAAATCACAATTTGTTGCATTGCTGTTTCTATCGTTTGTTTGACATGGCTTGTAATTGGTGTTTGGTTAAGACTGTTTGGAGAGAATTTAGTTCTTTAGCTTCATTTGTTTTTGTAGTAAAAACTGTCCAGGATTGCAGTCTGTTCTTTGCCATTCACTGCTTTTGGTTCTAAGTTTTGTTAACTAAGCAGAGTTTTATATTATTTGTATCAATTTGGGAAAAGATCTATGGTAAGATTTGATGTATCCCATATTTAGAAGATTCTGGACTCATATATATCCATATTGGGAACAGAAATGAATAACAGAAATATTATTAATGTTTTCAATTCTTCTCAATCCTTAACAAGTTTCAATCTTTGGAGTCGAGTGTGAGGGAGGAGATTGATTCTATTAATGAATTTGAAACTTGGAAAGTGAAATGATTTTTCTTTGAATCTTTTGTTTCAATTTTCAGTGAATGATTGGTGAGGGCAACACCAGTTTGTGACCGAGACCAGACACTTTATGAGATTTTCTTTGGTTTGAAGTTTGGACTTTGGAGTTGTGATGGACTTTAGGGAGAGAGAATGTGCGGTTGATGTTGAGACCGGTGTGGGTGAGACTATGAGTGAAAGAGTGGACGCGAAACCAAGGAACTCTATCGCAAGCTGTGTGTGTGGCTGGAAATTGGATGGTTCAAATAAAGGGCAAAATGGGGTTTTGCCTGTGAAGATTGAGAAAACCGAGAAAGAGAAACAACGAAAGTCGGTGCGTGCTAAGAGGCCTCCCAAGCCCCCAAGACCTCCAAGAGGAATGCCATTAGATGCCGCCGACCAGAAGCTGATCAAAGAAATACATGAACTCGCGATGATAAAACGCGCGAGGATTGACAGGATGAAGGCTTTGAAGAAACTGAAAGCCGCGAAGGAATCATCCATGTCTTCAACATTTAGTGGCAGTTTCTTTGCTATGTTTTTTACAGTTCTATTCTTTATGGTGCTAATCTTCCAAGGTAAGTACTCCCAACCCGGTTTCTTGTTTCTTTATGGGATTTTACTTGATGTGTTGTTTTTATATCTTACTCCCTCCTTCCCAATAAAAGGTTCCACCTTTGACGTGACACAAATATTAAGAAAAGTGAAATTGTATGGTCGAAAGTGATGCACAATAGAGAAACGATAAAGACCACAATTTTTTCTCTATAAGTGGAAAGTAGTTTTTTTTTTGTTGGGCAAACAAAAAAAAAGTAATGTGGAGGGAGTATTTAAGATTGCATCAGAAGCCTATAGTGCTTATAAACATCCCTTTTTGCAGGGATGTCATCGGGAAATCGTTCTCCAAGGTTTCATGGCACCCAAAAATTGTCTACTTCATCAATGGCAGCCCGTTCTAAATCTACTAAGTACATTCGAGAATCTTGAAACTATAATGCCTATTTTTTTGGTAAATTTGTCTTTTGTCGTTTTGTTGCAATAACTATACTAAACTGAACCTACATTGGGTTTGCAGCATGAAGGAGAAGAGATCTGATCGATTTCAAAGGATATGATACTGCCCTCTGTACAGCGGATTTTAGAATGGATTGCGAGCGGTTAGTTTGGTACTACGGATTAGGTTCTGGTCATTGTATTCATTAACAATCTGTCATAGGATTCATTTCATTCACATTACTTGAACCATATTGGTAAACAATGTAGTAGTATATAGAAAACACAACAAAAGTTGTTTATTATAAATACGGCTAAAACAACCTAAAAGTCGAATATTACACCAACAAGACATACGGTTTGTCGGTTAGCTATGCTCCTAGGCGTAATATTGTTTTGAAATATTTGACTTTTGGACCGTTTTGACACTATTTATAACAAAAGATTTTTGTTGCTTTGAATGGACTACTACATTGTTTATCGAGTGACAACCTGACCTAGTATATATATATGGAATGTGCGGGTTAGCGTGTTATGTTCTAGGTATTTCATTCCATTATTTTTTTTCTCAGATTTTTTTTCCTATGTGATGTACTTTATTGTCCCTTTAGGATCTGCTGCTCTATTTGAAGTATAATAACAATTGCTCCATTTAAAATGTGATAATGATCTTTGAAGTTTTTTATTTTTCTTAGAAATACCTATATAGAATTAAGGCATGTTTCATATGGAGTGTATTAGAAAAAGACCTTCAATATTTTTATATCAACATAGGATTTATAATGTCAGCTCTTAAATGTTACTAACATATGTTGTCAAAAAAGATAGGCCTTGTTTGGACACTAGCAGTTGGCAGTTGGCTGTTGGCTGTTTATGTTAGTTGGTTTGAATGACTGATTGAGTTAGTTGTTTTGACCGGCTGTTTCTGTTAGCATTTAAATTTTAAGTGTTTGGCAACTTTAACTGTTTATAGTTAGCTGTTTGTAAGTAAAATTACATAAAAGGACATCCCTCCATTTATGGTTTATTTTATTTTACAATTTTTTTTAAATATCATATCATAAATATATTTTTTTTAAATTAAAAAATTAAATAAAAAATTATATATATATATATATATACACACACACACACACACATGATATTTATTTTTCATTTTTTTACATGTAAAAATTAAATCTTTACTATATGGAGTATTAAATTTTAATTTCATTTAATTCATAATAAATTATAAATATAAATTTTTTAATGAATTATAAATATAAATTTTTTTTAATTTCATTTTATTTTTCGTATTTAATTTTTTTAACTTTTATTTTTATTTTTTACATATATTATAAAATATTTTTCAACAAAAATGATTTTGAAAATTTTATTTTTCCTAACCGCCAAGTCCAAATGCTACTCCCCTTGGCATTTCAGATTTTGGCTTTTCGGATCAAACTGCCAAGTGAAAAAGCCATTAGCCAAACAATGGTTTTGGCGGTTCGCTTGGTCAAAAAAGCCAAAGTCAGTCAAAGATGCCAAAAGCTATCCCAAATGCTGTTTTCCAAACACGGCCATAGTCAGGTTTGTAATTTTCATCGATGCTCATACTTAAATAGTAAATAAAAAAATTTCTTTCTATTTTGTCAAATATTTCTGAGTATTGCCTCTAAATACCCTTTCCCGTCCAATATTTTTTCTTTCTTTTTGATCATTTCATAATTTTTTTTTTCCAATTTCTTATTCTGCTAAAGAGTTTCGTCTTAAATGTCTAATTTTCTATTACACTTTTATTGATTAATTAAACATTCTCCCTATGTTTTCAAAAAAAAAAACATTCTCCCTGCATCCCAAAAAATGTCACAATATGGCTTTTTTAGTTAAATTATGCAAAATTTTGACTACAAATTATGAAAAAAGTAAAATTAGTTGTAACGTAAACTTAGTAAAATTGGATTAATTTTAAAGTATAATTTGGATATATTAAAATTTTATAATATTAAAATATTTGGAAGTATATGAAACTTTTAGTTAAAGTGTTACACAGTTTGACAAAAAAGTCAAACTGTGACATTTTTTTGAGACGAAAGCGGTACATTATACGCGACGGGTCCAAGTCTATGCATTGTGGCGCTCGTCAAGGGGGGGGGGGGTGGCCTACCCATACCTTCTCTGTTCCTATCTTGATTGTGTTGACTTTTTGAAATTGTTATTATTTTTTAAGACGTGTGACGATAAATGAGAAAATAAGGTGGGGTGGAGTGATTTATTTTAGAGATAGTTTAGGTATTTTACTTTTAAAAGTTTACAATTACAAGAAACAGACAACTTATTTTGGACGTAGAAAAAAGGAAAACAGACAATTTAAAATGGGACGAAGAGAGTAAGATATAAGTCTTAATTATTTTTAATACACAAATAATATTAAATTGAACTTAAAATAATTCAATAAAGATAGACAAAATCAAATTTTTTTGTTGGGCCATAGAATAAATAGCATAACAAAAATACTAGGGGTACACCAAATGGGATACCCCATTTGTTCCCCCCTCCATCACCACCACACAAAGGCAAGAGAGGAAAATAAAAATGAAAATGAAAAAAGAAATGGAAGGCTATGATGAGTGGTGTACAAATAGGGTACCCAAATGGTGTACCGTAGCATTCTTCATAGCATAAACATAGTCCATGATTAATATTGAGAATCGTGCGAGAATAAGGATCAAAAAGATAAAGATAAAGTTTACTCCATAGTTTAGTTACTAAAGAAGAATACTTTAAACTTGGGGGCACTCTAAAAGATAAAGATAAAGATAACGTTAATACTTTGTTTGGTTCAATGAAATTAAAAGAAAAAAAAGTATTGGAAAACAGCTTTTCTCGTCTTGCTAGAGAGGATTGGAAAAGAAAGAATGAGTGGAAAGGAAAGAAAATGATAAGACAAAATATACCAAGTGAAGGAAAAACTAAATTCCTCCCATTTTGGTGAGGAAATGAGAGAAAATCATTTTTTTCCTTCAAAATTCCTTGAATTAAACACAATGTAAATATTTGTGTGTATCTGAAAATTGTCTTGGTGTGCAGTTGAGACCAAATGTTTGGGCCTTTGGGGTCCCACAAGGACTCTCAAACTATGTTTGGTTCAAATAATTTTGAAAAAAAAGAAAAGAAAATGTTTTTCTTTCATTTTCTTCATCAAAATTGGAGAATCTGGATTTCTCTTCACTTAGTACATTTTTCCTTCTTATTTTCTTTTCTTTTCACTTTTCCTTTTTTTTAACTAAACATGCATAGTATTTTGCATTGGTTCTAGAGGACTAAATATGAAAAACTCAAATTTATAAAGACTGATTATGAATTTTCTTTTAAAAAAACCAATCAACCTAAAATAAAATCTTGTATACCCTTTCTCTCAACATGCAAATCTTATTAACTTTCTTTTCTTATTTCGTTATTTGTTTGATAAAATAATATAATCATGTCACATGTTTCATAGAATTTTTTATTATATATCAATTTTCAAATAAATTATTTTTAAAATAATTTTAATCAAACACCGTAAACTAAAATGATACAGGAGTAGGAGTCTTAAAAAATGATACTCCCTCTGTCCAAAAATGTTGTTCACATTTAACTTTTCACGGTCTCCAATATTGCACTTTGACCATTAATATCAGGACCTGCCCAATAGAGGGATAAAGTGTCCGTCTGGGCCAGGCCCAATAATTTTAGGGGCACATTTTTTCTTTTAAGTATTATATATATATGTATATAACAAGCCCACCGTTTAAGGCCCAATCCAATCTCTACCTAACTACCTTACTCTGTCCTTTAGCCCATCCCCCTAAAGCCCTCACCCCGTAGACACAAAAAAAAACGAGTCTTCAGACTCCAACAGCCGAAGAAAGAACTGGACAGCCGAACTGCCGAAGAGCCTGCCGATTGCCGAACATTCGAAGAAAGGACGTCTCCGTCACGCCGCTGCCGGACACCGACCTCCACCCTCCAAGTATTAAATATTCAATTATTCATAACTTTCCAATTTTGTAATTTTTATTTCTTAAATCTTAATTTTCTTTCATTATCTCATTTTTTTAGATTTAAAATCTATTGTTAATTATTAGTTTTAAATTTGAAATCTTTTCTAATTTCATTCTTTGAAATAGAATGAATTAATGATTCTATATGTTATTTATTGGACTGGGATGAATTGATTTGAATTTGTTATTTATGATACGAAGTATGTTTATATAAAAAACTGAAAACCAAAAAAAATTAAAACTGATAAAGTGACGAATTGGTATGAATTTATGATTTATAAAAAAAATTAATACTAAAAAAGAAAAAACAATTAAAAGAGAAAAATTGACGAATTGATATTAAATCATGATACATTTATTTATTTGCTTGCTTTTTCAGTTTTTCAAACTTGATTTTACTAAGTAGTAGAATTTATGAATTTGAATTTTACAGTTGTGCTCTCAAGAATGCAAGGAGAACTTCTCGAATCCTCGGCTAGCTTTTACGGTATGAAATTACAATACTATAATTTTGTCATTTTTCCCTAATAATATTGCGTTAATTATCATTGAAATATAATTAATTTACATATGTTAATTTGTTAGATCATTAGGGATAAGATTTTTAGGGCCTTTTTTCTGTTTCGGCCCAGGTGTAGGAATTCTCAGGACCGGCCCTGATTAATATCTATATTTATACATAGATATATTTTATAAAAATTTGATATATGAAAACTACGTTTAATTATAAATATATTGATATTAAATTTACATCATAATACAATGTGTTTTTTCTACAAATCGTAGTCAAAGTTTATAAATTTTGATTAAGAAAAGTCAAATGTTAAAATAGGAAGAAGGTAGTACGGAGTATGTATTTAGAAATTACGTAAATGTGATATGACACTAAAAAAAAGGCTGAGCTCATAACAAGGTCTTGATGATCGAATTGGCCACGACAGATAGTTCCACGACATTCTGATTGATACCCCGCAGGGGCGAATCCGTAATTCCACCGTCCCTCAGCGCAGCCTCGCAGTTCTCCGCCTCCTTGGCGGCGTCAGACATCCCGGCCGCCGCAAACTTCGGGACGCCACTCTTGAGGGCGGCCTCCGCCTGCGGCACGTCTGCCCTCAGAACGGCGTCGTAGAAGAAGTAGCACTGGCTGAGCGGGCCTCCCCAGCGGGGCTGAGCGACCCTGAGCTCCGGGATCGTGACACGTGTCACCTCGTCGGCCCTCGACCGGACGGCGGAGACCATGACGTGGCAGAGGGTCTCGACGTCGGCGCCGGCGGCGGAGCTCCGGGGGTCGGACTGTAGGGTGGAGACGCAGAGGGGGTAGTTGGGGGTGTTCTTGCAGGTGGTGGTGATGAGGGCATTCTGGTCATTCTTCAGGAGGAGTATTGTGGAAATGAATGTCACGAGTGAGATCAAGCTCTCCACGGCCATTTTGAGAGAAGGGTAATTTGGGATTTAAATAAATTATTGTGATTGTTATTAATCACAATTGCGTTTGGTTTTTCTCTTAGCAGGTGGAATGAAAATTGAAAGGGTTCCGTGCGGATTTATATAGGTACTCAAGCATATCATTTTAGCATAAACTTATTCCGAATTTCTCTGCATTCAATGTTCAAAAGTCACTCTCCACTCAAAATATTGATGGCCTACTAGTACTACATTGTTGGGTATGTATGAGAGTTATTTTAAAAAATATACTCTCTTATTTCTTGAAAAGAACTCTAATTTTGACCAAGTTTTAAAATAAGGAAGTGTTAAATTAAAATTGATTTCTAATTTTTGTCATTGATGTGATGGATAAATTACTAGAAAAAATGTATGATGTGATAGATGAGATAAGAAATAATATGGGTAGAAATAATTTTTGATAGAGAGTGAAAGTATTTTGATGAAAGAGAAAAAAATGAAAGAGAAGGTATTTTGTAGAACGGAGGAAGTAGGTACTCATATTCCCACCTACTTTGTGTACCCCTACAATAATGTTGCCTTAGTGCCTCAAAGTTGGGATATGCTAGAGCTACACCAAAGGTGTACCCCAAATGTACACCACCCCACTCTTTACCATTCATTTTATTTTATTTTTATTTTTTACTTTTTTTTGAATTTTTCTTATCTTTTTTGTGTGGTGATGGAGGGGGTGGGGATGTTTGGGGTACACCAAAGTGTACCCCTAGCATTTTCCCTCAAAGTTCTCTCCTAACGCAGTAACGCTTTGAAGTGCTGTTCACTATTATAGGAATGAATTTTTGCATCGTTATTTTTGACTTTTTACATCGATTTTTTTTCGATGCAAAAAACAACGATGTAATTGCTCTAAACAATTAGAGGAGCTTCTAAAAATCAATGCTAAAGGGGTGCTTACGCGCGTATTTTTGGTGGCTAGTATAGGGAATCCTATTGCATTGGTTGTTTGAGTATTCCCAAATAACCAATACAAAAATATTTCCTGAGATTTAGTGTAAATTTTCCCCTAGACTTTTGCATCAGTTATTAGGGAATAATTGATAGAACTAATTTCTTTTGTATCGGTTATTCCCATATAACCGACACAAAAACCTATATTTTTTAAAACCAGATCTCCGTACAAAATAGAATACACAATTTTTTAAACAGATTTCTCTCTACAGATTGTAGTACAAATTTTTACTATTATCGATCCCTGATCGGCCACCTCAATCTGCTTCCTCACCCTTCTCTGTCCCCATCCCCAAGCTTCAATGTGGGCACTGAAGTCCCCGGGCTAGAGACAGGGAGAAGGGGATCAAGATTGTCGGGGAGATCTCTCCGAAGACGCCGATCACCAAGGGAGGGGGGCGGTGTTCCCAATCGGTGGTGACGACAACTCAGGCACTCAGCTTCTTGATGCCCTCTCTCATCCCCACACTGCATAGCCTAAAAAAGAGTCGGGCACACAACCTGATTTCTATGTTTAAAGGATAGAATAACTATTATCAAGTGACACATGACGAGCATGGAAAGTTATACGATTAAATGCTACTTAACTAATAAAAGAAGGTCACACAACTTTAAAAAGTTATTTTGTTTTATTATATCATACCCTAAAGAAGCGCATATAGTTTTAAAAAGTTACTTTGTTTTATTCTATCATACCCTAAAACCAGAAAAGTAGTTGTTTTTTTGAGCCATTTTGCTTTGCCTAGAAGTATTAGACACAAATAGAGGGAATCAAAGAATTGTTGTTAAATATTCTCTCACAAAAAGAGACAAATAGAGGGAATCGAAGAATTGTTGTTAAAATTTACATATTTAAAAAAATGTCAAAAAATCTTCAAAATAAGAGGTATTAGGAATATTTTATTTTATCCAATATTCAAAAGAAAACGTACCAATAAGTAAAAATTCTCGTAATTTTTGAATAATAACTGTGTCATTTTTTGGGAGAGACGAGAGAGAATTTCAAATTAAAAAAGGAATGAGTTTAATTTGTGATTTAGGTTGGAGTTTAGAAGTGATTGACACATTCAGAACACGTTATGTGACGTGTGCGGCCAAAATGGTGTGTAATGAATTGAAACGTCTTGAAGATGATATCCTATGTGTCGAATGCTTCTATGCATAACAAAGGAACCGCGTGGAAGAACTTTGAAGGGCGTACCAAAAAGATGGCTCAATACCTCATGTGCTTTCGTGTGATTTGAGAAAATGGGACACGGCAACCTATTTTTTCAAAAAGTACAACTTGGTCCGTCCCTGAGTGTTTATCCACTTTTGACTTTTGGAACTGTTCATCTAAGCACTTTGACTCATCAAATTCTCTCAATGTGTAAGCCTAAAAATAGTCATGTGTGATCTTGTTTGATTCGTCTTAACATATAGATTATTAATATATAATTTTTATAATTTTTTAATATACAAATTACAAGATAAAATGAATTAAAGAAGTACATTGGATGGTGTGCAAAAATGAAAGTGGACAAACACTCAGGGACGGGGGGAGTATAAAATTTGGTGTATCTAATTTGTACAACAGATGAATACAGGCATTAAGTATCCGTGATTACTTAGTGTCTTTGTTTGTCTGGTGTACAAATGGAATATACCATTCTGGTTTACCTCTAATTTTATTTATAAAATTTTTATGGTTAAAACGATTACATGGATGCTCTCTTCATCGATAAAATTTGTAAATCACAAGGGACACTCAAACTTATTTTTCATTGATTTTTTTTTTACTTTTTTGCTTCTCTTTGTTTACTTTTCATAAAGTTTTTTTAAATTTCTCTTAAAATATAGTTTATGATATTTTAAAAAATAAAATTTGTTTATGTTTAATGTCAAGGAACCAATTCTAGCAAAACTTCAAGCTTTTGGTTGTGACTTAAGAAAGATTTTCTTATATTCTAACACGCCTCTCATGTGCAAGTGCAATTTTTTCGAGCCTAGCAAGTGAAACTTTAAATTTTTAAAAATAGGTGACATTGACTTTTGAACTTGTGACTTCGTAATATCATGTCAAGGAACTCATTCAACCAAAAACTCAAGATTATGGTTATGGCCAATGACTCTTGCATTTCGTGATTTCAATAAATCTCATACTGCTGAAAATATTTTTCTATTGTTTGAAAGTATTCTGCGAGAATACAATTTAGTTAATAAAGTGTTTGCATTTGGTGTTGATAATGCTACTAATAATACTGATGCTATTCCTAGACTTAAAGAAACTTGCCCCATACTATGAATATGGTAGATTTCTGCATCAAAGGTGTGCTTGTCATGTTTTAAATTTATGTGTTCCACAGGAATTAGAAGCTATGGGGGGGTGTGACGAATATTAGAAATGGAATTAAAAAGATTTGGGGTAGTTGTATTCATACGAAAGCCTGGAATTAGGGATAGAAAACCAATAACATTTGCTAAAGATATCACCATTAGATGGAATAGTACATACAAGTTGATGCACAGATTCTAAGCTACAAAGAGGAACTTGCTGGACTTCTTAGGAAAAAACTTAGTTTTATGATTTCATTGAATGAATTTGTTATTCTTGAAAAATTGAATGCCGCATTAGAAATTTTTAATAACGCAACTCTTGCTTTCTCGCATGTTTACCAACCAACTACAAATAGATTTTTTAAAGAGTGTGTTACAATCGCAACATGTTTTAGTCAAAGTATAGCTGATCCAGACTTGTACCCCTATGTCTCTCCTATGAGGAATAAATGGTGTGCTTATTATTTGTACATTCTTGATATTTATAAAATTGGTATAATTTGTGATCATCGCTTTAAAATTGAAAATTTTAAAATTTTGATTGACTATTACTATACTTGTTTTTTAGATGAAAATAATTATTACTACAACCATTTAATAGAATGCACAAAAGAAAGAGATAATGCTACTAATCTTTTTGAGGCTTTATTTAAAGAATTTCAAGGAATATACACTAATGCACCGGAAGAAACAACACCTCCTCCGCCCCCCAAATCAAAAAAAGGTTTTAAAGGAATAGTCGGTGGGCTTTTAGCAACAAAAGATAAGCGTGGTTAGCCTTCGACGAGTTCAGGTGGTACAATTGTAAGCTTGTACAACGAACTTGCTATGTACCAAGGGGCACCATGCGATTACGACGACGATGTGGAGTTTGACGTTCTCGCATGGTACAAGCGGAACTAACACATCTTCCCATGTCTCGAAATGCTAGCGAGACAAGTTTTATTCGTCCGGTATTTACCGTAGCAGTGGAACAAGAATTTAATTCTAGCAGCAACATTCTAACCGACTACCGAAGTTGTTTTAGCACTGAATCTCTTGAAACACTTGTTTGAAACCGAGATTGGCTCTTGGCGAGACGTCAAGCTCAAGAGTCAAGGTACGAATTCAATTATGAACATTACATGAATGCAACCACAGATGAAAGCCTCAGTTCTAAGGAATAACTTATAAACTTTTTTTTGTTAATATAATTAGTTTTTTAGGTGAGCGATATATAAGCATCTTCGAGGATTTCTCTACGATTTTTTACCTCGCCGCTTTTTTGAACCGTCAGGATATTAAATGTAGTTGTTTGTGTTTTAGTATTACTTATTTTTCAATATTTAAATAACAACTACATTTTTAGATATTTTATTTCATTATTTGATTTATTTCCTTTAACAATTACACATTTACACTTTTAAAAATTAAAAAAAAAGGGGGGGGGGGTTGTCGAAACCAGCCGGTACAGTACCAGAACCGCCGGTACGGGTACCGGAACCGGTACCGTCCACCACGGTGACAGTAATAGTACTAAGGGGTGGCGGTACCGGAACCGTCCCGAAACTGTATCGTGTCCACCCCTAATAGACAGTGTGCTATAACACTTTATCCGTCACAAGCACACACAGAGAAGCAGATGGTGCAGAGGGTGTTACAGTGCCTACTGGGCAGAATGATGTAACTATAAAATGCGTAAAAAAATAACACCTGATATGTTTACGCAGTTCGGATAACTCTCCTATGTCTACGGGGCCCACGTCCGTGTAATAGCCCTCCACTAAATCACTAGATGCAAGTTACACCGATACATAACAACATGATGAGACACACTTCTCCGAATTGTTATGACAAAACTTCTAATCTAGGATTTCTAACCTGTATCTTGTACAGATCTGCTTTGTCTATCACATCTCCACCGAGATCACGAGGACACACGTGTTGGCAGCCCACTCATTCAGCTCTAGTTCATCTTCCGGACGTCTCGATCTGTTTGGTGTTCAAGATCTCCTCCTTCATGTAGATCATAACCTTCTTCACGCATGGGAAGCTCTGGTACGCGACGAGAATGCTCTTCATCAGCGTATATTCTGTGTTTTTTCCCTCTCAATCGCTCCAAGTAATTTCCAGGGACCTGCTGCGTTTTTATAGGCCAATCAAAACTCAATCCTAGTAGGGATATGTTAGTAGAAGTTGGATTGAATACAACTTCCTTAATCTTCATCCACAAGTAGCATAAAGAGTTGGAATTTCTTAACACATACAGCTGGAGTTATTATCAGGTAGTCATAATCCCAATAGGTCTTTGATTGAGATTGTAGTTTAAAATCCCATGCTCAGACTTTTGATCTTGAAAAGTGTGTTGCATCATCATGTTGTAGCATCTTCTGTGTCAACCTCGAAAACTGCAGCAACTCTAAAAGTCTAAATAAAATAAACTTCTCTAACAAATAGAGGTTTCTATCTATTAAAACAGTTCTTGACTTCCTTTACTCTCTTTTCTAGTAAAATGAGTGTTCCACTTACATATCCTCTCTCTCTCTCTAAAAGAAACATATATTTTCTTTAATACAAACAATTTATCATTATTCTCCTTTGTCATTAGCATTTTTTAAATTTTGAAAAAATTAGGTAGTAAATGAGTTAAAAATTTTGAAACAGGGTAGATTTGATGGTGGATTTAAGGTCCACCATAAGCCTTTCATATAGGCAGAATAATCCCTTTTTTTACTATCTTGATAAGCATTTATTACTTTAAATAAAAAATAAATTTTTAAGTGTGAAGGTTTATAAAATTAATATGCATTGAAGATGCACTCTTAAAATAGATGGAGATTGAAATAGGAACCAATTTCAAATTTAAAGTGGCCCATGAGCCCATGACTTTCTGACTATGCTCAATTTCCACAAGCCTTTACAAGGCCCCATAGATTTTCGAAAGGTTTATATCCGGCCACATAATAATCAGCCCAAAAGAAAATTCAAACAAACGAAGTCGTAATGTACCGGTAAAACCCTAGAGATGCCCTCCCCCAGTCACAACGAAACCACGTGATTAGCCACGTGACAAGACCACGGAAGACCACGAAAAGCACACACTACATATCCGATACTCTCGCCTGGACCGTCCGATGAGCGTCACGTCATCGATCCGGATCATTTCGAAATTCCAACGGTCGAGATTCGTCCTGCCGCACTGCTACTCCGAAGAACGAAGAAGCTGCTCTCCACTCTTCTCTTCCATTCTCGAGTGGAAAAAAATTCCGGAAATTTAATCCTTGCAATTTCCTGCAAAAATTTTCCACCGAGATCAAATCGAAGAAGAAGAGAAAAATGTCCGAAGACAGGAATTCGGATCAGTTGAGCAGCGAAGAGGAAGAGGAAGTTGAAAACGGCGCCGTCGGAGTTGACTCCGACGAGGAGGAGGAGGTGGATGTACCGAGTGGTGACGATGAGGACGATGAAGAATACGATGACCAAGAGGATGATGAGGTTCGATTTACAGATAGCTCTGTTTTTATATATTTCAATGCTTTTTCTTCTTCTTAAGATTTAATATTCGTTAAATATCAGCTGATTTGTCATGAATTTGTCAGATCTGTCGTTTTTTAATTGAGACTTAATGGCTTCCTTGTTTAGGCATGAAACTGAGAACACTTTTAGGATGAATATCTCTTGCTGTGAGTGTGTGTAAAAATTACCCCGGAGCGATTAAACCTGTGGTTAAAAATTTCCAGATCTGTTGTTTTTGGTCATTTAGTATTTATTTTTTATTTTTTGTAATTTTTTCCAATTTTATTTGTGCTTAAATCCTCTACCGATGACATTTTCCCCTTAAATCTGCTGGAAAATACCTAGCTTTGTTAAAACTTTTAACTGAAACTGGATCTGTTTTCCCTGTTTTATTGTCAAATTTCTGTTAACAATCATTTCCAGTTTGAGAGTTATCATCATCAAGTTTTGTTTTCATCACCATAAACATCTGAAAGCATTTAGGTTTTGAGACTTAGAATCTCATGTTTATATGGTAGAAACAAAGTTTATAGGAAAAGTTTTACAAAAATATTCTCAGTTTTAAAGTATGCAGATCAACTGTGCAAAAACATTTGCCTGTTCGCTTTTCAAAAACAACCTGACCAACCAACCAACCGGTTAGAGTTGAAATCGATCTTATATGTTCTGCAGTCTAATGAGTTCCTGTATTACTAGGATCTGTCAACATCAAGGCTAGTTCGGCCAATTCCTGATGAAGATGCAGACAATTCTAGTGATTTTGAACCTGAAGAGAATTCCAAAGATGATGAAGACGAAGATGAAGAAGAAGAAGAGGATGATGATGATGAAGGAGATGTAGTGGTTCCACCGAAGGGGAAAAACTCTTCTGCGGGAAAGGTTAATGGCCCACCAAAGAGGAAAAGGGAGTATATATATGTGGAATATATTAATGCTAAAAATTGCAAGCCAAAAGAGAAAAAAAACTCCGTATTATATTATATTAAATCAAAATGGATGGCGTGGTTGTCCCTTACTACACTTACGAGCCAGCAAATGACCCGTCATTTTTGGAAGGGTTTTTTTAGGGGAATTGTTCGCGCGATTTGCTGGATTTGGGGCTGTTTCTTCGTGCACTCGCGGCAATTGGTCTGTTTGCAGGCTGAATTGCCGCTTGTTGAGAGTCCCCTCCCTCCATTAATCTATAATCTACTGTCTGGCGATCTTGAATTTTCTGATGATGTAATCCAGTTTCGGAAAGAGCTGGTTGAGTTAGATAAGGAAGTTTCCGAATAGAAGAAAGCGGCTAAGGAATCTATCTCCAATTTCAGAACGTGTGTCGCTCAGTATTTGGTGGTACTCATTTTCATCGCTTCATCCGCTATTACCCACACATGTTCTGAAATTGGAGATAGATTCCTTAGCCGCTTTCTTCCATTCGTGAACTTCCTTATCTAACTTAGCCAGCTCTTTCCGAAACTAGATTACATCGTCAGAAAATTCGAGATCGCTAGACAGTAGATTAATGAAGGGAGGAGACTCCCAACAAGCGGCAATTCGGCCTGCAAACAGACCAATTGCCGCGAGTCCACGAAGAAACAGGCCCCAGATCCAGCAAATCCCGCGAACAATTCCTCGAAAAAAACCCTTCCAAAAATGACGGGCCATTTGCTGGCTCGTAAGTGTAGTAAGGGACAACCACGCCATCCATTTTTATTTAATATAATATAATACGGAGTATTTTTTTTCTTTTGATTGCAATTTTTAGCATTAATATATTCCACATATATATGGCCCACCAAAATTTAAAACGCTCAAGGTAATATGACATTTAAAATGCCTTTGATTTTAAACGCGATAGATTCCTCTGCTTATTGCACGCATTTCACCTTGCATCCGTCTGGATGGATGCGCACATAAGAACTTTCTATTTCTTTTTTTCACTTTTGTGATTTACTTTTAATTATTTTTTTAATTTTAATAAAAATCATTTCTTTTATTTATGTATTTTTAATAATATGATTGTGAAATAAATTAATAAAGGTGCATGTGGAAAGTATGATAGTGTTTACTACTCCCTCCGTCTCAGAAAGAATGCCACGTTTACTATTCTGGCCTCTCGATAACTTTTGTTTGTTTACTCGTTTTGGTTGACCATTTGATAAAATCAAATATTCTTATCGCATTTTGTTTTGTAGAGCTTTTCATATACTTTTAAATGGTGTAATTTTTACTTTTTATTACTCTACTAATTTGAAATTAAAGTGATTTTAAAAGAGATGATATTTTCATTATTTTGCACGTCGTTCAAAGTGTTGCAAATAAATTGGGACAGAGGGAGTATTCGGGGTGAGAAGTATTTATGGAAAAGATGAAGAAAAGCTGATGTGACATGCTGAGGGCACTGGAAATGTCCATGAAGTCTTTGGGCTTCAAACCTTCTCTCTGCCACGTCAGCTTTAACTTAATTTACAGTTTCAGAGGAAATGGGTTTGAAGCCTCAGGGCTTCAAACCTTCATTTTTTACATTTTAAATACATATCTTCTAAAATTAAATTAATAAAATTAAACTATTTAATTATTTAAAAGAATTGAAACGATAATAGTTCATTAAAAAAATACATTCATTATAAAAAATTACATTCTTTAAATAAAAAAATTAAATTCATTAAATAAAATAATTACATTCATTAAATAAAAAAATACATTCATTATAAAAACTACATTCATTTAATAAAAAAATTACATTCATTGTAAAATACTATATTCATTAAATAAAAAAATTACATTCATTAAATAAAAAAATTACATTAATGAAAATATAAAAAATACTTGAATAATAATTTTTTAAAAAAAGATGATAGATAGAGAGAAATTTATATTTGTGTTGAATTTAAAAAAAAATAATTTATAGAGAAGAAAAGAGAAAAAAAGAGGGGAAAAATGAAAAAGACGGCATCAAAATGCCTTCAAATTGCGTCAAACATATGATGCAGAAGTTTTAACGCAGCTATAACGGGGGAGGGGGCGGTGTTTAACGCCCCCCAGGCGTCAAATGCCTCGTAACGCCGGTGGGCATTAGAGGTAGTTCCACTGCTCTGAGTGTGTTGGTTTAATTTATTCTTATTACGGAGTACTTATTATTATTGGAATCAATTCAGTTCAAATCAAATTAGAAAATATTTCAAATGTATCTGCTCTCAAATCAGATCAAAAACAATTTTAAATATAACTATATTCATATCAGATCAAATCAGAACGTATTCCTATAATCATTCAGATCAAGTGAAGAAAATAAGCCGTACGTCTGCATTTGGGAAGGGCGTCTCTCTACGTTGCAGACAGTGTAATGAGTACTCCAATCACATAGTTTTTGTCGAATCTTAACAATTTTTAATCATTTTTTTATTAACATTTTTTAAATTTTACAGAAAAACTAAGTGCTCCCTAAAATATTTTGAATTAGGAACCAATCTCATATTTCAAACCTAAGTGGGCCTTGACTTTTTGAATTCGCTCCGTTCCCACAAGCCCCATACATTTTTGAAAAGTTTATACCCGCTGCATAATCATCAGCCCAAAGGAGATTTCGAACAAACGACGCCGCATAATCTCAGAATCTCATGTTTCTTTCATATGCTTACTTTTATTCATTTTTTGTAGTGCTTTGTTTGCCGCTCTAAATAGAATAAGTTTTACCTCGTTGACGGGAATGTTTGAAAATAGCGTTAGATATTAGCATTAATGTTTTTGATAAAATTTTAACGGTGCAGATTACTTTGAAAATACTAACGCTAAACATTGCCTGAAGATAGCCTTTTCAAAATTCTAACGCTATTCCCAAACAGACCCGACATTTTTTTGAAAGCCCTCGTGGACATTTTTAATAAGTGTTAAATTTTTTTGAAATTTTTTTACTGATGTGAATTAATTTTAAAAATAATAAAGCTAAACATTATCATTAGATAATATTAGGGTTGTAAACGGATAATATCCGTGACGGATATGGCATATCCGAATCCGTATCCGTTTAAGTTTAGGAATATCCAAATCCGTATCCGTATCTGGCGGATATTTACTATACTATATCTGAACCCGTATCCGACGGATAATTATCAGTTTCAGATATATCCGAATCCGATTAGATATCCGAAAGTAACCGAATATCAAAATCCGATTAGATATCTGAAAGTAACCAAATCCGAAAATATCCGAGTCCATTTTCACCCACTTCACGGAGATTGTGGAGATGGATTTTCGCCCAATTCACTGATGGATTCACGGTGACTTGTGTTGATACTTCGATTGATTCACAGTACTGGTTCAACAAAGAGCATCGTCGATTGATGTTTGGGCTTGACTTCGATCGATTTTGGGATTGACTTGGAATGAGATTTTAGATCTGGAATCTCAATCAAACGGAAGAGGGGCTGAAGGCGGAGGGGAATCGCCGAATTGGGAAAAAGAATTACGAAAGAGGGGTTGACCTAAGGTTAACATGTTTTGAAGTAGGTTTTTTCCCTTATTTCTTAAAAAATTTCTTTGTGGGCTTTTTCTTTTTTTTTACATGGTACGGTAACATATTGGAATTAACAAATAAATTAGTAATGGTAAACTATGTAAATACTTGATACTAGGATTATATTTATTCAAAAAATTATTCGGCATTCGGATAAACGGATATTGATAAACGGTTATTTAAACGGATGTATATTCGGATCAGATTTTAAACGGATCGGATATACAATTACCATATTCGTATCCGTTTAGTAATCGGATACCTTTAATCGGATACGGATAATATCCGTTTAAAACGGATACGGATATTCCATCTTTAAACGGATACGGATGCGGACGGTAAACGGATTTTCGGCTATCCGTTGACCGCCCTTGATAATATTTTCAAAATGCTAAGATTAAACTTTGATCTATTATATTTTCTTTTTAGATATCAAAACAAAATGTGTTAATTCTGATCTTGAATATTTTATGAACAATGTTAGTTTATAATATGAAATAAATTTTCAATTTATGTACTCACTCCGTCCCAAATTATAATGTCTGTTCACTATTCACAGGGTCAAACTTCATCTACTTCTTTCTCAATTTTCATTAGCAATTTGATAAAATAAAATACTATTGTCACTACTAGTTTTGTAGATCTTTTGATGTAATATTTTAATATGTAATTTTTATTTTTTAACTATATACCATTTGTCATATAAAATGATTTGAAAATAATTTGAGTCAAACATAGTAAATCGAAACAGGCATTATAAAATGTGACGGAGGGAGTATTATTTTATGAACTATGTTAGTTTATGTTAACATGAATTATTTTATTGTTCTCAAGTCATCTTCTATCATATTCTCTTCGTTTTAAATTCAAAAAACACTTCTTGACTTACTTTACTCTCTTTTCTAGTAAAATGGGTTTTCCACTTGGATCATGCTACACTTACACAAAAAAATATACCTCATTTGTACACCACAGGTTTGCACAAACATTTCGATGGTTTACACCGATACAAGTGTTGGTGCGTTAATAAAAATTCACACGGACACAAATGTTAGTGCGTTTAATAAAAATTAGTTTTACACCAATACAAAGTGTTAGTGCAAAACTGCGGGGTACAAATTGGGGTACAAATCTTGGGGTACACATAGCATAATCCTTTCCACTTACATATATTCGCTCTTTTTTTTTGAAAGAAACATATATTCTCTTTAATACAAACAAATTTTAATTATTCTCCTTTAGTCATTAGCATTTTTTAAATTTTGAAAAATAAGGGAGTAAATGAGTTAAAAATTTTGAAACAGATACGATGGGTGATCTAAGGTCCACCATAGACCTTACATATAAGCAAAGTAATCATTTTTTACTATCTTAATAATCATTTATTACTTTAAATAAAAAAAAAATTAAGCGAGAAGGTTCATAAAATTATGCAGGGAGATTCAAATAGGAACCAATTTCAAATATAAAGTGGGCCATGAGCCCATTACTTTCTGACTATGCTCAATTTCCACAAGCCTTTTACAAGGCCCATAGATTTTCGAAAAGTTTATATCCGGCCACAAAATAATCAGCCCAAAGGAAAATTCGAACAAACGACGTCGTAATGTACCGGTAAAACCCTAGATGCCCTCACCCAGTCGCACCGAAATCACGTGATTAGCCGTGTGACAAGACCATGGAAGGCCACGAAAAGCACACACTACAAATCCGATACTCTCGCCTGGACCGTCCGATGAGCGCCACGTCATCGATCCGGGTCATTTCGAAATTCCAACGGTCGAGATTCGTCCTGCCGCACTGCTACTCCGAAGAACGAAGAAGCTGCTCTCCACTCTTCTCTTTCATTCTCGAGAGTGAAAAAAAATCCGGAAATTTAATCCTTTCAATTTCCTGCAAAAATTTTCCACCGAGATCAAATCGAAGAAGAAGAGAAAAATGTCCGAAGACAGGAATTCGGATCAGTTGAGCAGCGAAGAGGAAGAGGAAGTTGCAAACGGCGCCGTCGGAGTTGACTCCGACGAGGAGGAGGAGGTGGATGTACCGAGCGGTGACGATGAAGACGATGATGAATTCGAAGACCAAGAGGATGATGAGGTTCGATATACATATAGCTCTGTTTTTATATATTTGAATGCTTTTTTTCTTCTTAAGGTTTAATATTCGTTATAAATCAGCTGATTTCTCATGAATTTTTCAGATCTGTTGTTTTTGGATTGAGACTTAATGGCTTCCCTGTTTAGCCCTGAGCGATTAAGCCTGTGGTTAAAAATTTCCAGATCTGTTAATTTTGGTCATTTAGTATTTATTTTTTATTTTTTGTAATTTTTTTCAATTTTATTTATGCTTAAAACCCTAGATTATGCATAAAAAATTTTTTATGCTTAAAAATTTTAT